GCCATAAACAAATCACAGCCTAATGAGTCAAGTCGGGAAATGACTTGGGCTGTGGCTGTGAGCCAAAGGAGCCCTTTGCAATAACTGCAAGCAAGATAACCTTCCACTCTGTCCCTCATTTTTTTCTTTCTTCTTGAATCAGGAAAGGTCACAGGCCAGGGTCAGAGGTTGATTGAGAAAGAAGGCTGTGTTGGGGGTCAGCGGTGGTCGGCAGTGGGTAACAGGTAATTTTCATTTTCAGATCTTTCCCTGAGCGATATTTAACCCATCTACTAAAAGACTCCGGGCTTTATGTCTTGAGCCTTCTACCTGCTGTGAAAAGAGACCACTGGGGTCTGTCCCCATCTAGAAGGGAGTGTGGAGTAGGCTCACCCTAGCTTCATCAAACCCCTACGATAGACTGCCAGCAACAGGCTGGCCAACATTATTTCTGTACCATATGCATTTCTTACATTTCTCTCTTATATCACTTTAGAACATTCTAGGAACTGAGTCCACACAGCTTTAACTCTCTGAGTATCTGAGGAGTAGAAAAAGAGATTGAAGGAGGAACCTTAAGACTAGCACTAACCTGGGGGGTATTTTTTAAAATACATGATTGAGAGGTCTGGTGTGTCCAAGAGGAAGAACACATCTGGGACAGTGGTTTATGTACTTGGATTCCTCAATGTTAATTTTACAAAATGCACATAACAAAAATAAAACCTTTAAATATTTAAAGTTTTCAAAATCTTGTTTGAAATCTACTATCCTGGACTGTATGTGCCTAGCATTCTTGAAAGGCATAAGCAGGAACACGACACTTTAGTATGCTGCCAGAAGCTGCAAGGAGATAGGAGTACTATTGCGGAATGCAACCATCTTGGGTAGGGAGAAAATGGCAGACCTGTGGAGAACAACACCCTAATGGGAGAACAGTTGTTGTCATTTCATATCAGTGGAAGAAGGTTGGATTATTCAATAAATGATGCTGAAACAATTGGTGACCTATTTGGAAAAAACACAAAATTAGATTCCACTTTATGCCATATTCCAAAATGAAATCTAGAAGGATTGGAGAGTTCATTGTAAAAAGTGAAGCAATTAAATGACTAAGAGAAAATATATAGGTGCGTATGCTTGCCAAAAGAAAGAAACAAATCACAAAATTAAAATTGACAGATGTAATTGTCAATGTGAAAGTGTAAAGCTGCAAAATGTAAAAAACAACAAAATAACTATTATACCATAAATGGTAAAAAATCAACAGGCAAAAGACAACTGGAAAATAATGTTTTTACCACATATGATAGATAAATTAGGCGATATGTATTGGGCAGGGGAACCTTAAACTGGTTCATACCATTTGATCCAGGAATTCCACATCTACGAATTTATCCTAGGAGGAAAAAACCAGAAAAGCATACATAGATTTATATGGAAAGATACTCTTTAAATTATTTACGACAGCAAAAATGCACATTTAAACATTCGATACTTTGGACATTTAGTGGGACACTTCTATGATTGAAAATTATGCATCCACAAAACATCACATTCTTGTGGACTATTTGAAAATATAGGGAATCGCTCCCGATATATATTTGATGAATATAACAGGTGAAAAAGTGTATGTACATATGATCATAATTTTGTACAAACATGTATATTTATATGCATTTATTTCTATAAAATTCAGAGAGAAGAGGCTGACAGTATGTCAGCAGTAATTTTCTCTGGGTTATAGGATTGTGGGTAATTTTTATGGTCATCTTCGGATTTCTCCAAATTTTCTACAATGAATAAGATATTGTTGTGATAAAAGGGAAAACAGCATTTTTAAAAAGATAGTTTACTAAACATATAAAAGCACTGGAAGCACAGAGACGAAAGTCTAGGAACAAAGACAATAAAAACAAAGACGAAAGACCACTGAAGACGGATGGAGGATCTCACAAATCACACTCTTCGCGTAGCACATAAAGCTGACAGCGGTATTTCTATGGTAGTATGTATAGAATTTCTTCTACAAGATGGAGTCCTGGAAAATTTTCTTCACTACACCAGAGAGCAGTCACATGTCCCTGGATGCGTCAGTCACTCTCTTTGCCGCAGTGCTCTGCTCAACGCCCCCTCCCTTTGCCTTCGACATGCTCTCTCCCTTTCCTCCAGCAAACATGCTGCCAGCAGACATGTTCAACTTAGGGAAATGACCCATCTGCAGACTTTTTTTTTTCAAGCCTTTTCATTCTTATTTTTTCCCTCTTATTGCTACTTTGTCATCTAACTCAAAAATCAGTCTATTTAGCTTTTGTCTCCTTTCTTCCAGTTCAAGTGTCAAAACAATCTGAATTTCAAAGAAAAATTTTAAAAGCGCCACTTCACCATTTTTGTCCTGCAGAAATGGATCCGCAGAAGCACATGCATTTACAGGCACATTGCAGAAAAAATGCAAGAGTGGTGTTGACAGGAATCCTTGCTATCTTTCTCATGCTCCCCTCCCCTTTTTAAAATAAGAAGTGCCGAGAACGTTCTCTCTTCTATATAAATTGTTGTCCAGTGCCGAGAACATTCTCTCTTCTATATAAAGTGTCCAAAATACAAATTAATTTTTTAAATGAAGATATGGCAACATTATTCAATACTTCTATTTTATGATTTTTCATCTTAAAGCTAATTTCGAATCTTTTCCATTCAACACACACTCATCTCTCACATGAAGTAATCCATCTGAATATTATTACAGGCTGTCTTTCGCCTTATTTTCTCCAGTACAGACGGCCAGTCATACGATGTTCTTCATAAGAAAAAAAAAAGAGTAGCATACGTAGCCTTTTCTCCATGGCAAAATCATATTTTTCTCATGCTCTCCCCACACTAAGAAAAGAAACCACACCTGAGAGGCATCCTGAAATATGATCTATTTCATCAAGTCTAATCCAAACATCATAAAGCTGAGATACCATACTGATGGCAAGTTCCCATTTTAATAACATCTTCATTAAATCTTATTTGGGGAACTAATTTACCAGAATGTCAGGGGGGAGTTTTTATGTGTCCTTCTAGCAACTTAGTCACCATTTAAGAAGCATGCTTTAAACTAAAAAAAGTGACGACGGAGTGTTTAGAATGCAGTTAATTCATTTTCTCAATGCCCCTGTCTGAATCAGAAATTCCTACACAGTTCTGTATTATTCTGTTCCATCAAAACATGTCGCTTGCTTTAAAAAGCAAGCATAGCCTGAATTTATATTTTACAAAAGATTTCGCAGCTACTTACCAGTTGCAAGCTCTGTCTCTCCACCAGCTCTGAGTCTGTTGCACTGAAGGGGTGGGGGGAGAGCAGCAGAGCAACAGCCACTTGAAAATGAGCTGGGCTCTGGAGAAGGGATTAGCCCTATGGAAAGAAATGACATGCCTGGAGATTATCCTCCACGATGCTTAAAAAACACTACACATCATATACTAAAATGTGCATGCTCATCAAAGGACAGATTTTTACTAGATAAACCTTTGATTCAAAATATATTTTAATTGCATTGATTTCCAGTGGAACCCCTACAAGACCATGGGCTTTTGGCTCTCCCGTCTCCTAGCAACCATCTCATTAAAATGTCTTTTTTTTTTCCCCCCTCCAGTGGTCCTACTAGGCATCAGAGAACAGTCACAAGGTCTAGTCTCTTCGTTGCTATTTCATTGTTCAAAGATACATTTTTCCCCAGGTAAGGAATAAAGGAAGTCAGGAGCTCAATAACAAGGTCTCCAGAGGAAGATTTCTGATCCAGATGACATTCCATAGGGAAAAGCACTGATTGCTCCTGGCCCTCCGTTAGTGCAATACTGTCTGTACACCATTGCCTTAATAAGAACGTCCTTCATAGCATCAAAATGTACACATGGAATTGTTAAAATGATCAGTTTTATTTTTACTTTGCTACAATAAAAAGAGAGAGAAAGAGAGTCATTCCTTCACTCCACAAGTATGTGTTTAGTCTTATCTCACTCAAAATACTGTGCTGGTGGCAGGGAACTGAAAAATTGAGTAAAACACAGTCCATCCTCCTTGTAAAAGTTGATAATATAAAAATCTGTACATGCTGTAAAATAGAGGTATTTTGTTTAACTCATTATTTTATTGATTTTGAGTAACAATTATAACCACAGTCATTATTACATGATCTATCCGAAAATATTGGATTCCCAATTGGTAGAGGAAGTAAAGAATTACATATTTATTTTTTAATATGTAAATAAATACTTATATATTTCAACTTATGTATCTCAAATATACACTTAACCTTTTCATTATAGCTTTTATAATATTTTTACTTACATCTTCACAAATGTATTCACTTCAGAAAAACTATGCAATATTACATAAATTTTATTTAAATTAATTTAATTTTTTTCCAGATAGGAAATACCTGACAATCCAGTTCTGTAACTTACACTAGAAAAGAAAAAAGGATTGGTACTATTTAGTGTGCATTTATGAAATGCAAGACACTCAGTTACAAGTACCAGATGATGAAACTGAAGAGATTATTATTGTCAATATTGCCCAGATGAAGAAACTGAAGAGATTAAGTAACAAAACAAAAATACTGACCTTTCTTCCCTAAAGCCCATGCTTCTAATCACTACATAAGAGTTCTTCTGAATCACTTGTGCTATTAATTTTTTTAAACAAGGACTATAAGGACCTATTGCCACATATTCTGCAACAGTAGGCTTACGTCAAGCCCCCAAAATGTGCATTTTTAACAAATGTCACCATTTAGTTCTGACCAGAAAACCTAAATAATAATCTTTATAACTGGTGATGTTATTAGAGAAGAAAATTCTAAAACTATATAATATAAGATGGACATGGGCTAGCAGATGGCATAGTGGTTAAAGCAGCTAGATCCCACATGGCCAACTGTGAGGTTTGAGTCCCAGACCCCTTGGCTTAAAAAACACACCAGGAGTGTGTGTATGTGTGCCCCAAATCCTGAGAGAAGAATAGAGGAGAAGGGATTGCAGCATGGCCATCCCCCCCGAGGGAGTGCTTTCTCATTCCACTCCCTCCTTCTCTTTCTATCTCCAGTGAGCACATGTTCCATAGAGCAAACACACACACACACACACACACACACACACACACACACACACACTCATACTGATTAGAACAAATGAGTAAATACATTGAATTTTTCGGAACCAGAGTTTTCACTGTGGGAGAAAATGATAGAGTCTGAGAAAGTGCAGAGAATCCTGAAGAAACCTATGATAGATCTGAACTGGAGATACTAGTTTAGATGAATATATTTCTAGAACATACATTACTAGGCCTGCCCAGTAAAAAGAAGAAATGACACCCTAATAGCGATGAGTACATCCAATATCCATATGTTGGTTTCCAAATACATTTTCCCACCAAAAGAAACCATGCTTTACTGAGGAAATAGCTCATTCTATATCTGGGGCAAGAAAAGTACAAGATAAACTTGAAACGTGTTATATCCTAAAACAGGGAACCATTTTAGGAATGACAAGAACATATCAAAAGGACGCAGAAGATAGTATGAAAGCGGTCTCACTGGCCAAATTTAGTAGAATTTAAACATTGAAAAGAATATGATGGTAGTAAACTATACAACATTAAATTTTAAAAATAGCGAGTCCACAGTGATAGTAATGAAGTAATTAGGCAAGAAATTGCTTCTTTTAAAAGAATAGCAGTTTATATATGTACAAGGAATGACCAAATCAGTAAATGACTATGTAGAAACCATCAATGTAAGAATGATTTAGGCAAGGATCATCAAGGCATACCAAAACCATTTTCATGAAATATTGGGGAAGAGAATGTTTACAAATTTCAAAGTATCCATAGTTTATCAATTACTTACAAAAGAGAGAAACATATATTTCCTTTTTAAAAAATTAATTATTTTGGGAACCAGCAGTTAGTGTAATGGCTATGTCACTGGACTCCCATGTAGTCGACCGCAGTTCGCGTCCCGAACCCGGTGGCTTAAACTCATGCCGGGCGTGTGTGCGTGCGTGCCCAAGATCCCGAGAGCAGAATGGAGGAGAAGGGATTGCGGCATGGCCATCCCCCCTGGGGGGTGATTTCTTGCTTTCTGTCTCTCTGTCTCTCTCTGTCTGTCTGGCAAGCGCACGCGCCTTATAGCGAAAATCTCTCCAAAAAAATAATAATAATTATTATTTTATTTGACTTTATATATTTATTTTTTAATTTGAACAGTGAAGGACAGTGTAAGAGAGAGCAAGAAAGTGAGATAGCAAGCTGCCAGGTCCAGGCAAACCGTGTTTAGCCAGGTGAGAGTCTAGCACCCTTAACCACCACACCACCTGCCAACCCCAAAACATATATTTTCAATGGAAGACTTCGGGATACACCAACTTAACTAAATAAATTTCATGTCACCAATAATAACACGAACTGAAATGTGCCTCTTGATGGGATGAAATGGGAATCATGCATCACCTATGTACTTTCTTGCCAAAAATATTTTAGCTGAATCTATTTATGAACAATCAGATAAATGCAGATTGTGAAATATTCTAGAAAACAACAAACATTTGAAAATGACTTGAAACTGTCAAACTATAACTGTAGGTTTTTATTTCTTTTTTTGAGAGGCTTTTGCTATAGGGCATGTGCCCTCTCCAGAAAGACAGAGAGAGATAGAGAGACAGAAAGTGAGAAGTCACCCCCCAGGGGGGATGGCCACACTGCAATCCCTTCTCCTCCATTCTCCTCTCAGGATCTTGGGCACACATGCATACGTGCCTGGCGTGACTTTAAGCCACTGAGTCCAGGACTCGAACCGTGGTCACTACGTGGGAGTTCAGTGACATAGCCATTACGCTAACTGCTGGTCCCGTTTTTTTTGTTTGTTTGTTTTTGTTTTGTTTTGTTTTGAGAGTCTTTTGCTATAGGGTGCATGTGCTCACTGGAGAGACAGAGAAATACAGAGAGAAAAAAAAGTGAGAAATCACCCCCCAAGTGAGAAATCACCCCACAATGTGGATGGCCACGTGGTAGTCCCTTCTCCATTCTTCTCTTGGGATTTTGGGCACACATGCACGTACACCTAGCATCAATTTCAAGCCACCGGGTCTGGGACTCAAACCACTGTCAGCCACATGAGAGTCTAGTACCTCAACCACTATGCCATCTGTTGGCCCCACACTGTAGTATATTCAAGGAGTGATGGAGGAATTATCTTAAAGAAATGTGACAACCAAATACAATGTATGATTCTTGATCAGATCCTGGATATAAAGTGAAACACCTATAAAAGTTGTGTTCAAATGGGGATATTTGAATAGATACTATATATTAGGTCATGTTGGATCAATGTAAAAGTTCTTTGGTCTGATGATACGGGAAGTTGGACTTATTCTCATGAGACAATGTCTAAGTATTGGAAAGCAAACGGCCATAACATCTACAAATTAGTCTCAAATGCTTTACAAAAAAAATCACAGGGAACCAGCAGTTAGCGTAATGGCTATGTCGCTGGACTCCCACGTAGTCGACCGCGGTTCGCGTCCCGGACCCGGTGGCTTAAAACTCACGCCGGGCGCGTGTGCGTGCGTGCCCAAGATCCCGAGAGGAGAATGGAGGAGAAGGGATTGCGGCGTGACCATCCCCCCTGGGGGGTGATTTCTCGCTTTCTGTCTCTATGTCTCTCTCTGTCTGTCTGGCGAGCGCACACGCCCTACAGTGAAAATCTCTCCAAAAAAAAAAAAATGCACAAAAACAGATACGTAAAGTTAAGGTTAATAATGTTAGCAATTGTGTTAATAATTGGTAAATCTAAGATGAATATATGTAGGTATTCGTTGTTACACTTCAAATTTTTCTATACAGTTGAAGTATTTTAGATGAAAAATATTTTTATTAAAATGCAAATCCAGAAAATAAAGAACAAAATACTTTTGAAAATAATTATTGCATTTCCCTTATTTTTTAAGTTGAAATTCATAGACGTTTTGGCATTAAGGACCACCAGGTTCCTAATTCCTCAAAGAGCTTTCCATACTGACCAATTGGATGATGAGTAGCTATGCGCCATCTAGTGGCAATATTCTGATTTACCATGACTGAAGAATGTCTAAGGAACACTGAATTTGATAAATGACCTTATAAGTTTGATTGTAATAAATAAAAATTCTTTTGGCATTACTGTATATAGACTTAATTAAAATGTAGCTTTGTTTTTTAAAAAAAATATTTATTTATTTATCCACTCATTTATTTATTTATTTATTTTAATTTGACCAGAGAGAGACACAGAGAGAGAGAGGGAAA